ATCATGCTACTATAAAGACACGTGTACACGTATGTTTATTGTGGCACTATTCAGAACAGCAAAGACTTGGAACCAACCCAAATGTCCATCAATGATAGACTGGATTAAGAAAATGTGGCACATATACACCATGGAATAAAAAGGATGAGTCCATGTTCCTTTGCAGGGACATTTGGATTCAGCTGGAAACCCATCTTTTCAGCAAACTATCACAAGGACAGAAAACCAAACACCACGTGCTCACTCATAGGTGGGAATAGAACAATGAGAACACTTGGACACAGGGTGGGAAACATTACACCCCGGGGCCTGTCGTGGGTGTTGTGGGAGGTGGGTACGGGGAGGGACAGCATTAGGATAAATACCTAATGTAAATGATGAGTTAATGGGTGCAGCAGACAAACATGGCACATGTATACCTATGTAACAAACCTGCACGTTGTGCACATGTACCCTAGAATGTAAAGTATAATTTAAATAATAATAATAATAATAATAATAATACACAAATTTGCTGGGTGTGGTGGCTTGCACCTGTAGTCCCAGTAACTCGGGAGGCTGAGGCAAGAGAATCGCTTGAACCCGGGAGACCGAGATTGCAGTGAGCTGAGATCATGCCACTTGCACTCCAGCCTGGGCCATAGAGGCCCCAGGAAGCAGAAAGCAGGGTGCAGGCCAAGAATCCTGTTTTCCCTACTCTCAGCTCAAACCAGATACCCTGTCCCGCAGCTAGCTCCCCTGGGAACCCCGTGTCTGTGAAGTGAGATAACCGTATTAGGGTCAGGCTTGCCTCTTGGCCCTCATGGAATCTGGAAGGACATCCTGAACTGAGAAGGATGTGGACTGTGACTGGGAGTCCTTTGGGGAGCAGGGACAACATCACCTTTACCTCTCTCATGCCCAGAGCTGGGTCCTGCACAGCCCAGCTGCTCAATGACTGAGGGTGCACTGTATCTGGGGGTTTCCGTTCAGGAGGCCGGTGCTGAGGGCTGGCCACCTCTGCCCCAGTGTCACCTGATGCAGCAGACCTGCTAGGGAAATCCACACCAGTCTGCCCTAGAATTCTCTAGGGGAAACTTTCCCCATGACTGTCCCAAAAATGGAGAACATCCTCTTGCTGTCCTGTCTCATTCAGCCAGGTTCTGCGTAGTTTCTAAACACTCACAGCCTGGAACTGTCATTACACACATACCCCCAAATATGGACTTGCACAGTAAAAATCCCTGTGCAGTTGTGTATTCATAAAGAAAAGCCAGCAGCTAGAAGGTCTGTTGTTTTCACTGCATCTGACTTTGTATGTTTTTCTACCATATAGCAACTCACTCTCACCTTGTTGCATTCATGCATGTGTGGAGACCGCGGCCTCACTGCGTACCCACTCACATTCCATAAACGCTCTCTCTTCACTGCAGATGATGCACTTCCTCCACCAGCACTGCCTTCCCAATCATTGACAAAGATAGGTGAGGAGAATCCAGAAGCTTACAGGGGAGGGATACGTTCCTGCTTTATGCAAATCTCTGCAGTGGTGTCAGTTTACCTGACTGAATAGAGTAACTACATGCACAGTGTGCAGTGGTTAGAGCGTGGCCTCTGGGCCACATGGTCTGTGCTCCCATCCTGGTAACTGGCTCCACGAACATGGGCAGGTGCTCTGTGCCTCAGTCTCCCCATCAGTAAAATGGGGATGGTGATCATACCATCTGCTTCTTAGAGTTGTCGTAACAGCGCCATGCTTGGGTGGTGCTGGCACATACTGCATGCTGGGTCAATATCTCCTATTGTCATCATCTTTATTCTTGGCCCTTTCGGGAGTCTGACCTCCCCTGAGCTGGGGATGTCTCTGGGGCCTTCCCAGAGACAGCTTCAGTTGCCCTTCCCACAGGCAGGCTGTTTGTATTTTCTTTTCCACATGGCTTGAAGTGCTCATTATCCCTCTGCGACCTGTTCTGCCAGCAGTATGGTGCACCCTGGCATGGGGCCCCTAATTGCCAGTAAAAGGGACTGTTGCAAAGGATTCAGCAGTTTAAGTGCTAAGAACAACCCACTGAAAAGGATGATTGTTTTTGATAAGGCATCTCAGAACCTTGGCATTTCAGCAACCTGGGGGGCAGGGCCTGGGTGCTCTCAGGGCTGGAGAGGATGCTGTGCTCAGAGGGAAGCTGTGGTTACCAGGGCCAACCATGGAATTGCCAACTGGAGAATGTTCTTTAAGAGACCACTGAGGTTTTGATGGATAGCTGACAGTGCCTGGCCACTGAGTCTGTACGAAGAAATATTTAATGAATGACCCTGGGTCCCAAGGCTAGGATGAGGGGTGAATGGGCAGGAAGATACAACAAGGAAGTGGAGCCACAGTTCCCACCATCCACAGGGGAGAGAGTTAACAGAAAGTGTGTTAGCTGAGTATTTCCCAAAGGGGGCTCCATGGAACCCTAGGCCTGCAAAATTCTCTGTGAAATGAAAAGGAAGAGTGGGGTAGATTTCTAGCCAAAAAAGCTTGGGAAAGAAATATTGCATATTCCACTTCCACATATATGAAGAATTAACATCCACTGAAGAAGTTCTGCAATAAAATTTTCAACATCTTAACAATTTTCTACATTTTAATAATGTATTAGCAGGCTTATCATTCAGTATATACCAAACATCTGACTATATAATCTTTTTGAATTTTTTCCCTGTTAAAACTTGAACATTTTGAGGAATAAGGAATGAGGACCATTTAGAGGAATGAGGCTTTCTGAAAGCATCGTCTGTGAACCATCCCAGTTACACTAAATTTAAACCACCAACCCTGCCTTCTCTCAGTGATTCTGATGCACACTGACATTTAGAACCAGGGGATTGTTGCTTCCAGAGGAGCACCCCAGGGAGCTCTGCAGTAGAACAATGATGAGAGGAATCAGCTCTGCACGGGAGTGTGCAGGGTACGTGCTGTGAACGGCGTGTGCTATGGGGTTCGTGGAGTGTGGGCTGCTGAGGAGGCTGCAGAGCTGCAGGGAGGAAGAGTCCCCAACTAGATCCTAGCAGGAAGGAAGACCCGTGGGAGTGGGAGGGTGTGGAGAGAACATTCTTTTGTTTTCACTGAGTCCAGGAAGAGTATAGTAGTCCAAAGTGAAATATGACTCCATACACGCTGCAGCTCTGTGTGCCCTAGAGCCCCATCGCAGATGGACAGGGTCCGAGCCACACACCCTGCGCGTTACCCATGTGGTCGCAGGAAGCTGAAGCGTTGGACTTGAGGGGCAAGTCCAACGCTTGCCTGGCATGAGCCGAGCTTGGGTCCCCTTCTCTGTCCTCAGCTTAACAGCCACCTCTCTATGTGGGTCCTCAGTGTGAGCCCGAGGTGAGGTGGTGGGAGAGAGAGGTGGGTCTGTTTCCTGGTGAGAAGTTCCAGAACTCAGGTACAGTCTACCTGTGAGAGGTCTGCCTGCAGGCACCTGCCTTCCTGCTTCTCTGACTTCTCTGGCTTCTTTGGACATTTGAGGGTTTGTAGAACAGGTGACACATGCATGTGTATGTGTGTGTGGTACATGTATGTTTGAGTGTGATGTGTATGTGTGGGGTGTATATGTGTGTATATGTGTGCATGGTGTGTATGTGGGTGTGGATATGTGTGTGTGTGTATATGCCTGTGTGCATGGTGTGTATATGTGTCTTGTAGTATGTATATGTGTATGGTCTACATGCATGTTGTGTGTGGTGTGTGCCTGTATGTGTGGTGTGTATAGTATGCATGCAGTGTGTGATATGTGCATATAGTTGTAGTATACATGTATACCACATGTACCTGTATGTGTGGTGTGTATAGTATGCAGGCAGTATGTGATATGTGCATATAGTTGTAGTATACATGTATATCACATGTATATATGTGGTGTGTGCATGTATGTGTTTGGTGTGTGTTGCGTATATGGGTGTGATGTGGATGTGTATGGATGGATGTGTATATGTATTGTGTAAGTGTGATATATGTATGCATGTATGCATGTGGTATATACATATATGTGTGTGGTATATACATGTGTATATGTATGTGTGGCACATATTGTGTGGATGTGTGTATGTGTCTGTGTGGTATGTATATGCATGTGTGGTGTGTACATGTGTATATGCACGTGTGGCACATATTGTGTGAATGTGTGTGGATCTGTCTGTGTCTAGTGTGTATATGCATGTGTGTGGTATGTATGTGTGTATGTGTGTCTGTGGCATGTGTACATGTATGCATATGTAGCATGTGTGTGTGTCAGGGGCTGCAAGGTTTGAAGGCTGGAGTTCAGGACCTAAGAAGGGGGCTATCCAGGCACTTGTATGACTGTAAGCATTTGTCTGGCTCCAGAGCCATGTGGCAGGGCTGGGTGACAGAGTGGCCACTTGGGTGCTCTCAGCCCAGGGCAAGCGGGCCCTGAGTTTGGGCCTATGAAGCCATTGGGCTCCTGGTTGTCCAGTTTAGCTTGGCAGTGAATAACTCTGTTGAGTGAAGCCTGGTTCCCTGGGCACTGCCTGGGCCACCACCTCAGCATCAAGGGACAGCAAAGGAAAGCTCTGCAGTTGAGACTCTTCCTGCTCTGGGCTGAGGCTGGAAGGAGATGGATGTCTTCTCCACGTGCCAGGCTATTTCTCCAGCCCCTGTTGATGAAAGTTTGCCTTTAGTGGTTATATGCTTGTCTTGTGCCATTGAAACAAACTCCAAGGAGGTGTCCAGATTCTTTTTTTTTTTTTTTTTTTTTTTTTTTTGAGACGGAGTCTCGCTCTGTCGCCCAGGCTGGAGTGCAGTGGCCGGATCTCAGCTCACTGCAAGCTCCGCCTCCCGGGTTTACGCCATTCTCCTGCCTCAGCCTCCCGAGTAGCTGGGACTACAGGCACCCGCCACCTCGCCCGGCTAGTTTTTTGTACTTTTTAGTAGAGACGGGGTTTCACCGTGTTAGCCAGGATGGTCTCGATCTCCTGACCTCGTGATCCGCCCGTCTCGGCCTCCCAGAGTGCTGGGATTACAGGCTTGAGCCACCGCGCCCGGCCCAGATTCTTGATATGCACTGCAGTTCTTGTATCAAGTAGAGTGGTAATAAAGAGCGTGGCCCCGGTGTCCAAGGTGTTGCCCTATACCTACTTCTCCAGAGACTCAGCTTCTCGTCTGCCAGGCCCCTAGTCTTTGTGGTGCTCTCCTTCCTGATATTCAGACAGAGAGGCCTGATGCCTTGCCCACCACTCTCCTCTGCATGTCCAGCTCAGTGGCTGGGGTCCTCGTTCTTTTCAGTGCTGTCACCTCCACCTGCTGCTCCTCTAGGGCTGCTGAGTTTCACAGCTCTGGGGGTGCCGTCCACATGATATTCTTTCCTGGAGCTGTGACCCCCAGTGCTCCCGGGGGCTGTGCAAAGATGGGGCCTGGCTCCTTGGTTTTTAAAGGGCTCACCATGCTGGCACTTCTGTTCCTCAGCTCTGAGAATCAGAGTTGCAGTCATCACAGGGGAGGGAATGAGGCAGGAGGCAGGTTAGTGTGAGAGATAATAAGACTCAAGTCTTGTGGCAAAGGAGAAGTGAGACCCGGCCCAAAGGCCCAAGGTGACCTGAGGAGCAGAGCGACAGAGGAAGGAGAAGCAGCCTGGTGCAGAGCTTTCCAGCCTGGGGAAGGAGATGGTCCGTGGCTCACACAGGAGTCAGGAGGCTGAGTTGCAGGGCGGGGGTGGCTCAAGGAGTATGGTGTGTGCTGGGAATGGCAGGGATATTGCTGGGTTTCTTGGCATTTAAGTACAGATTTAGGCTCTTGATATCATTCAGGGATATGTTCTCTGAGTTGTAAGGAGTTGTGAGGGTTCAATGAGGAAAATGTGTGAGTCCGTCACCTGTGATGTGTGTTGGTTGCGTGACTGCCATAGCTCTTGGAGGAGCACTGGTTGCCACTGTGACTTCAGCACCTGCTCCCCAGCTGGGCCATGGCCCCTCTCCCCAGGCTCCTGTTTCTCGCCCCCAACACAGAGAAGGCAGCAGCTGATCACAAGGCTGTTCTGCAGATGCAGAGAAGGGTGGGCTTCCTCTGTAAAGAATAAACACACACATGCAGGCGCAGCTTCTGCCCTGGCTCTTTCCCTCCCATCAGCCAGAAGCACATTTCCCTGACCCCAAGAATCTGGAAGTCCCGAGATTGGTGGGTCCCCCACCAGGGATACTGCTTTGGAAATGCCCAAGTTTGCCCTGCCCAGTCACCTCCCTTAGCCCAAGGGTAGTGCCGCCTCCTCCAGGCAGAGAGGTTCCTGCCAGCTCTCTGCACAGGGGCATTGGCCCCCTCACAGCTGCTGCTAGTGACTGTTACTGTGACCTGTCCTCCCTCCCTGCCAGTTGAGGAATAGTAGCTGAGATGCCAACCTCCAGACCAGGAGGGAGAGTTATGTGCCCATCTGTACTGACCTTCAACTGCCTTCAAGGTGAATCACCGTTTTCCTGGAAGATGCTTTGCACTTCTGGGTTTGGCCATGACCTTCTCTACATAGTTGCTCTCTCTCTCTCCACCCACGTTTCTGACTCTTTAGGGGCCTTAAGGACCTCAGATCCTAGGACAGTAAATCAATCTTGACATCCTAATCTCGAGTCAGTCTTTCAGCCACAGAGGCAGTAGGGGCACGCTTCCTCCCGTTACAGAGTGGCATCCCTTAGATCAGTTGGCAGGAATCCGAGCTGGCCCTCCTGTGTGCCTGGCTTGGCCACTGTGGGGGCACGAAGAGAAAGAGGCAGTCCGGTGGAGAAGATTACAGTCTACTTGGGGAAGGTCCAACACTCATGTAAGAGAGCAGTGACCAAGAGGTGATCCACTGAAGCTGAATTTATAGACACCAGAGAACATTGGGTATTTAACAGGTCAGGGATCAGGGAAGACACGTGTGGAGAAGGAGGGACTTCAGGTCACTGAGCTGAAGGAGGAAAATGAACAGTATGCTGAATGAGGTATGCAATAGATGCTTTGGAAGCAAGAGTTTTGTATGCATGTTTGATTATTTTTATATTTGCTTTCGATGTCATTTTTGGCTGCTATCCCCAATGACAATTACATTCGAGGCCCAGGAGGGGGTTGTGAACAAGCCAGTCAACATCTCGGGAGGCAGGGGCTGTCCCCTTGGGGGTTGTGTGACAGAAGGTGAATCTTTCCAGCTGATCTGGAGTTTCAGAGTTGCATTTGGAGCAAGCAGGACCCCAGGAGTTGGAATGGGGAGGATGTGAGGCAACTTGAAGAAAAGGGAGAGAGGGTGATTCTAGAACATTAGGGGCCACCTGCTTGGAGGACTGGCAACCATGCTGTAATTGATTAGTGATGTCTGCCACTGGCAGCAGAGGGGATGGTAGCAGAACACATGCCAGTCAGAAGGAGCCCATCTACAGGGCATGGTATTTCACTCTGGGATCTCTTTATTTAAATATGAAGCATCTGAAGTCCAGACTGGTGAAGTGACTTTGCCGAGGTCACACAGCTTATTGAGGCAAAAAGAAAACACATGTTTAAAGAAGATGGTGAAAATCACTTGCAGGATATGTCAGGAGCACTGAGCTTCCAGCTCTGGGGAACCCAGGGGGTCCCTGCCATCAAGGACCCGCTATCTCCTGCGGGAGAGAGGTCACTACAGGAAATAGAAGTGAGAGCTGCAAGAGGCTGGCTCTGCTACTGTAAGTCCCCCACACAGATGGCAAGTTCAGGGCAGAGCGAGGTGACTGCAGTTTGGGAGGCCAGAGGCGCTTCCTGGCTGAGCCAAGCTTTGACAGATGGGGCACATTTGGAGAGGGCAAGAGGGGAGGAAGGCCCAGTTGACCGGCCACGGTCAGAAGCGAAGGGGATTGCGGGGATGGGACAGGAAAGGCATGGGGAGGAAGCACCCAAGGCTATGGCGGCCCTGAATAAATGTGACTGATCTGCTAGAAAGGATTGTGCAAGCTCTCAGGGCATCCTGGAATGAGGAAGTTTCGAGTTACTTAGAACTGCAGGCTGCAGGCTGCTGGTGCCCAGAGGGAGGGACCAGTCCTCATGTTATCAATGAGACCCAGGAAGGCTGAGGGACTTGCCCAGAGTCAGACAGCCCAGGTGGTTCTCCCCAGAGAGTCCCCTTGTCCCTTTGACTCCATGAGCCCTCCACCTCTCCTCCAGACTCTCATTACCTCCTGCCTCCTGTCTGTGGGGGCTGGAGTGCCTGGCCCCTTCTGCTTGGAGGCTGCACTGTGCAGCCTTTCCGGTTTTTGTGCCCTCTCCTTCTAGTTAATTAAAGCTGCTCACTCTCTGTCACTCTCTCTCTGGAAAGTAGATTGGTTTCCCCTTCCAGTTACTGAGTTCTTTCACTATACATTCGTTAGTTTGCCTGTTCCTGAACATAATTGGTTCTCTTTTGCATCTGGGTTCTTTTATTCCCTGTCTGCTTGTGATATTTATTCATATTGTTGCATGTTATTTTACTTTGTTTGTGCTCACTGCGGTGTAATACTCCAGTATGTGAACATACCACTGTTTATTTATCGAATCAGCCGATGACAGGCATGTGGGTGTTCTCCAGTTTGGAGCTGTAATGGCTGATGCTGCTGTATACGCTTTGTGTACATGTCTTTTGGTGAGCCTCTGGGCACATTTCTGTGTGTTTATACCTGGGAGTGAATTTCTGGGTCATACGGCATGCACACGTTCAGCTCGGGTGGATGTGGAAGTATCGTTTTAAAGAGTGTGACGGTGGAAACCAGATTACAGGGGTAAGAAGGGCTGGAGGGCATCACGCGTGGTCAGGGGGTTGGAGAATTTGCCAGGGAGCTCAGCAGCCAGAGAGCAAAGAAACCAAATCATAGAAGCTGCATTGAGTAAAGAGGTTTCTGTCTCTGGGTGGGTCACATAGGGAACACTGGAGGATCAGTTTGACTTGGAGAAATCCAGTTGCTGGTGTAGCCTTGGTCGGTTGGGGACTTCTGGGGAGTAGGACTGAACTGTGAAGGAAGGCAGCCTCCATGGGCTCCCCAGTGGGCCTGACTCTGCAGAGCCCCTGCCTGGGGAGAAGCCGCTGCCATCAGGCTGGCAGTGGTGATGGTGGCTCTGGGTGGTACAGAGCCCCTGCTGGGTGTAGAGGCTTTGAGGAGAGAGCCATGGGCTGGGGGCAGCAGGGGCCTAGACCCTTCTGTATACATCTACAAAACCTCAGTGAAACGAGGGCCCGTGCCTGGGGGGAGGCCAGAAGACCCCCAGGCGGTCCCCGACTCTGACTGGGTGCACCAGCTGCCATACTCACTTGAGGGCTCACTCCAGCCTCCCAGCCACCCAGGGAGACAGGGAGGCTTCTGCCACCCTCTCAGGCCCAGGCACCGTGTTCTCAGTTCTCAGCATCCTGGCTGAGCAATTAATGTCAGCCCTTTCACCCCCATCTCTTCCAGAATGGCAGCAAAGACAGCTCTCTGGACATGCTGGGCACGGACATCTGGGCGGCCAACACCTTCGATTCCTTCAGGTAACCTCCTCCTCCTCCTTCCCTGTGGTGTGAGGTCCAGCCAGGGACCCTAGCTTCCTTGAGGGGCTGAGTGAAAGCTGATGGTTCATGAGCAAGAGGCGGAGAGAAGCAGAGCGGGGGATGTAGGAAGGATGGGGTGGAAAGAAGGAGGCTGGAGAGAGGAGGCGGTGAGTGTCAGAGAAGATAGTGGAGGCATGGGGAGGGCCCTCGGGATGGGGCTGCAGAGGCTGGGCCCCGCTTCCCACTCGCCTGCCTCATCTACCTCAGGGTGGCCGGGTCGTCACTTTGAGCTACTTGTCAGAGGCTGGAGAACAGCATTTGGCCCCTTGCTCTCCCCAGCCTTCCTCAAATGTGGGCACGAAAAGACACTCAGGTGTTGCAGAGGCCACTGTGCAATGGGCACCAGGCCCACACTTGTTTCATAAGTATACACTTTCCATGACACGGTGATGAAAGTGAGGGGTGGCACCTGGGGCTCCATTCTGAGTGAGGGTCCCCGCCTGGCCCCTGGCGGCCCCTTTCTGCGGGTCTGCTCTGCCAGGTTTGCCCTGGCCCAAACGGGGCTGTTGCCCTCTTGTCTCGATTTCTCACCCTCCCTCGCCCTCTAGTGGTGCCACCTGGGACCTGCAGCCGGAAAAGCTGGACTTCACCCAGTTCCACCGGAAAGTCCGACACACGCCCAAGCAGCCCCTGCCACACATCGACCGCGAAGGGTAAGGGGTGCCGGGACTCTTACACAGGGAGAGGTGGGGCGGGGACGGGAGTGGTCTTTGCCTCCATAGGGAGGCTGCTCTGCTGCACAGGGGACTCAGGTGGCTAATGCCCCGGCATGCTCTTCCTATGTGGCCCAGAGCTGCAGGCTCACTGACTTCTCCCGGAATCCCTCCATTCCCCTCTGCCCAGCCCCCTCTAGCCAAGCCATCCCCACCTGCTCCTGATGGCCCACAGTGGCCCTGCTTGTCAGTAATCCAGGCCAGTGCAGCAGAATCACCTGGGCAGTGGCACAGAGGACAGGCCCACCCCGGAGTCTCTGATTCTGTAGGCGCAGACTGAGAATGTGTGTTTCTAACAAGTTCTCCAGCAGGTGCTGATGCTGGTCCAGGGACCACACTTGGGGAGCCCCAGTGTCGTGCCTGATTTTACGCTGGCTTTTCTCACCCTCTATGACTTTGTGTGTCAGTGTTGCCCTCCCCTTTCAAAAGTGGTGTCAGGGCCTGGGCCAACCTCAGGACAGGAATGTGACTCCAGCCAGACACAGTGGTGTGGAACAAATGGCTGCTACTTCTTTTATAGTTTTATATAATTTTTATTGAGGCAGAAGTCTTATACTATAAAATTAACCATTGTAAAATGTTGAATCCACTGGCATTTAGTATGCTCGCCCTGTTGTGCAACTACCATGTCTATCTAGTTCTGAAACATTCTCATCATCCCAATATAAAACCCTATACCCACTAGGCAATTATTCCCCATCCCACCACCACCCCCAGCCCCTGGCAATCACCAATCTGCGTTCTGTTTCTATGAATTGATCTGTTTTGGATACTTACAGAAACGGAGTCATATGTGACCTCTTGGGCCTGGCTTCTTTCCCTTGGCATGTTTTTGAGGTTCATTCATTGTAGCATGTATCAGAACTTTATTCCTTTTCATGGCTGAATACTATTCCATTGTATGGATATACCACAATTTGTTTACCTATGCATATGTCAATCCTTACTTGGGTCGTTTCTACCTTTTGGCTATTGTCAAAAATACTGCTGTATCTGTTTGAGTCCTTGCTTGTAATTACTTGGGTATATACTTAGGGGTGGAATTGCTGGGTCATATGGTAATTCTGTTGAACTCTTTGAGGAACTGTCATACTGTGTTCCATAGCAGCTGAATATTCTGCATTCATACCAGCCACATATGAGATTCCAATTTCTCCACATCCCCACCAGCACTTGTGCTTTCTTTTCTTCTTGGTTTTTGTTTGTTTGTGTTTTATTATGATACTGATGACCCTTACTTTTCCTTCCAGCCCTCCCCTGCTCACTCTTGTCTCCCTTTCACTGCAGATCTAAGTATTAGTGACTTTATTGGACACTATACTACATCTCACAAGTCTTCCTGCTGCTATATTTGTCCCACCCAACCTCTCCTCTTGGCAGCACTGGTCCCATTGTAGTGTAATGAGCAACAACCCGTGGAAAGAAATGGGCTCATTCCTACTTTAGAGATGAGGAAAACAACACCCAGAGAAGCAAAGTGACTTGCCTGAATAACAGAGCCATCATTTAAGGCCAGGCCTCTGACACCGTCCAACCCCTAGTTCATCACATCAGGGTATTCTTAACCTCCTTAAAATTTTCTGCAAATTTGTATGTGTGCTTTCACACGTGTGTGTTGCTGGGGAGAGGCCCATCATTTGCATCAGACTCTCCCGGGAGACACCAGCCTCTCACACACCTCCTTTTTTCATTTCTCTGCCTGTTGTGGGTTCCATTTCTCTTTGGATGACGAGGGAGAGATGGCTTTGCGCATGGAGGCACCAGTTAAGATGGAGCATAGGAGAGACACAGCTGCGAGGCTCCCGACCCTGCCTTACCCCATCCACCCTGCACACTGCCTGCTCAGACCACTCATTCAGTTGCAGGGAGGCCATGCTCCTTCCAGGCTACTGAGCTGCCCAGAGCTGGGCCTCCACACTTCTGTGCTTAGGAAGGATGGCCTTACCTACCTTATTCAGCAGGTCAGCTTCAGGAAGGGGTTGTGAGCAAAGGTGATGCTTGCCCTGTGTCCTGTTGTAGCAGTGCAGTGGAGCTCGGGTATGCCACAGGAATAGGAGCAGGATTTTGCTTTTCTCAAGTTCAGTGTAGCTAGTCTGTCACTAGACCTGCTGGGTCCCTGCATGGTGCTGGATGCCAGGAAAGTAGACATACACACACAAACACACACATACACACACACACACACACACACACACAAGTATACAATATAGTCCCTGCCCAGAAGGACTGTTCAATCTACTGGGAAAAGGAGACATGAACCCATTCATGATGGAGACTGTGTAGGGAAAGAAAGACTAGACTATGTGGTGTAGACATATAGACTAGACTATGCAGTGTAGACAAATAGACACTAGGAAGTATAAAGTGTGATGCCTGGTGCAGGGTTAAATAAACTCAATGCAAAAGGGGTTAGAAAGGAGAGCACTTTACAGGTTGAACCATCTGGGAAAGGCTTCAGGAAGGAGACTTCCCTGGGCAGCTCCAGTCTCTCCTGTGTGCCCCAGGAGCACACAGCTGGTGAAGTCAGTGGCCTGGGGGGATCGAAGGCCTGGGGGGATCGAAGCGATGGTGCTGCCTCATTGACTACAGGTGCCCAGTGGGGCCTGCATGTTGAAGGCAGGCTTGCCAAAGGTGTCTCACCAGTCCCCAGAAATGAACTCACTTCCTAGCAAAAAAAGTGATGAATGACTATGAAGGAGAGGAATTCCCCTTATGCCGAGGGACTTTGTCTCTTCTGAAGCCAGAGTAACCAGCCACACCTGTGTCACCAGCTGTGGGCCTGAATTCCTCGGCCAGTCTCAGTCTCTCACCAGGAGCCTCCAGATTTGCTGAGAGTCACCTGGGATCTCCCATGGACATCTGGCTCACTAGCCAAAGCTGTCACTCCCAGGTTCCCAGGGAGTCTGAGTGCAGTGTCTGTGGCCACCTCATGGCCAGACCAGGAACTGTGTCCCCCTTAGAGTCCTGCTGTAGTGGGGACACGTTCCACGCGCCAGCCGCTGCAGCCTCCCTGGGATGCAGGTACCACTCGGTTGCCAAGTCTCACTGCAGCCTGTGTTTCCATGGAGGGACAGAAATCAGAGAAGGCTGTTGCCTTGGAAACCCTGTTGGCAGCAGTGACTCAGCTGGTCTGTAGCCACCTTCCGCCCTCCAAACCTGCAGGTCTCCAGGGAGATCTGAGCCCTGACAAGGACAGGCTTCGTGGGACAGCAGCCCTCCCTGCAGGCCTCCCCCTGCCCACCCCCAGGGGCGCTGAGGTGAGAACAGAAGGCTGTGTTTGGAGTGTGCTAGGCTGGTGCCCAGCGTGTGCTCGGAGCTCAGCACACGTGGGAGAGTCCTGAGGTGTGTTTTACCCACAGGAGACACTAGGGAGGTGGTGTTAGCCGTTCTAGTCGAGCCAAGTCCCTAGTGCCCTCCTCCCCTATGGCCCAGGCGGGTACAGAACATAGAAGACTACACGCAGTTGGTGCTTTCACAGGCCAGCCTGTCTGCACCAGGCAGATTGATGAGTTAAGAGATGTTGGATGTTCCAGGCCTTTCTCCACCTGCTCGCCTGTAGCCCCAGCACGTCACAGTTGTGGGGACAGCCGGGGGGCGGGGGAAACTTTTTCTCTTTTCCCTCATGCCTGTTATACCTTGCACACTATTCCCCACCCCAGCTCCACCGTGCCCTTTCCTACCCCTTACACCCTCACCCACCCCCGACATGCTCCAGCCACAGCAAACTGGCACCACACACGCTCCTAACTCCAGGCCTTTGCCTGCGCCACATCCGCCTGGGACATCCTCCCAAATTCCCTGTGCTTGGCCAGCTCACCTCTCACCCACCGCCCCTCGCCCAAGACAGTTCTAGACGCTGCTCCTTGGGGTTTCTGCACTGCTCTCCTGCCCCCGACGGGGCACTGGCTGCTGTACCGCAGGGGCTGATTATCCCGCCAGACACCGAGAGGGCCAGTTGTGTGCACCGTTTACACCTGGGTCCCAGACCCTGTCTGGAGCCTGGCACAGAAGCGTTTGGTGAATGGAGAAATGAGCCATCAAATGGGGCTTGGGTCAGCCCCCTGTTCTTCTCTTCCACATAGGCCTTTGCTGGTGTTTGCAGCCAGTTTCTCCTCCTCTGGGTTCCAGGGCGCCTCCCGCCGTAGGACTTTTATGACACTGATCTCGTGCTGCCCCCTAATGGTGCGCAGGCACCCAGCCCTGTTAGAGGAGTTTAGGGTTTGTTCTAAGAGCCATCCACTGTCTGAGGGCAGGAACCAAAACTGATTTGTTTTTGTTCACAAGGCCCAAAACAGAAGAGATGCTTGGTAAATATTTAAACAATGAACTAGTTATTCTGAAATGTGAGATTCGCGTGAACTCTGCAGCTGGAAAATGACCCAACTCATGGGACATCTCTCACCAATCCTCAGTCAATACCAGTAATAATTGTAACTGACAATATTTACTATGCACCGGCCATGCTCCAGCCCCTGTTCTAAGTGCTTGCCTCATTTATTTAAAACTTATCACCCCCCAGAGAGGGAGGAACTGTTATCGCCTTCATTTCAATAGATGAAGCAACTAGGAGACCCAGAAATTGAGTAATTTGCATGAGGCTGAGTTGGCTCCAGAATCTATGCCCTTAATTAATCACCTTCCTGCCTCTTTGCCCAAATAACAGCAACAGTATTAGCGGTAATGAAAGTAGTCATCGTAGTAGTAATATATTTACTTCATTATTTATTTTATTATAATTTTGTTATTATTACCAGTATTTACCATTAAACATATGTGTGTATATTTAAGATATATTTAATGGTAAATACAGATGATAATACATACACAAGTAATATATACACACATATATATAAACATAAACAAGCTAAGCATTATATATATATATAAGCTCGGCTATATATGTGTATATGTGTGTGTATATGTACGGTTTACTGTGTGCTGTCACGGTTCTAAGCATCTAAGCGCTCCAGATACATTAATTAATTTAATCCTCCAGCCACCTTAAGATGTTAGACACTATCATCCCCATTGAACAAATGAGGAAACTCATTTGATGACATGGGTACAGAGAGGTTAAACAACTTATACAGGGTCCCCAGTTGGTAAGGGATGCTGCGGGGATTCAAACCCTAGGAGTCTGGTTTTGGAATCTGCACCCTTAAATATGCCAAAGATTCAGACCTCTGGCCAGGGAGTTGGTGCCAGCCTCTCTGGCCCGCGGGCACACCCACTTACAGAGAACATGAAGACAAAGCATAGACTATCTGAGTGGGCCTGCTGGACTGACCCAGAGTCAAGCCAAGAAGGAAGGAAGCCCTGTTGGGTTTTCTGCTAGGCCCTGCCAGCCTGTGTGACGTTGAGAAAGTTGCTTGGTGTCTCTGCCCACTGATCTTCTGTCTGGTGTAATGGGGCAAGGTGGATGGGCTTTGACAGGTGTTGTGATGAGTAAGGAGCTTAGCTTCTCTGCCTGGAAGGATCAAGGGGAACTCTGGTTCCTCTCCCACCTCCCTCTAGGTTGGTTGTTGCATTAGGGGAGGAGCCCCCACCCCGACCCCTGGCCGCCATCTCTAGGGCTGTTTCCTCTATAGGTGGGACAGCTGATTCTGCAGGGCTCGAGGGTGGGCAGCACCAGGTGTCTGCTGACTGTTCCTCCTCTCCTGCTGGCCGGATGGAACAGGAGGCATGAATGAGCCATCTTTCCAATGCCTTTCTGTCTTTTCTGGTCCAGGTGTGGCAAAGGGAAGCTGGAAGATGGGGATGGCATCAACCTGAATGACATCGAGAAGGTCCTTCCAGCCTGGCAGGTAGGTAGAGGGGCATGTTCTCTAACAGCCCACCCACCCCTGGAGTCTTGATCCCACCCCTGGAGTCTTGATCCTCTTCCTGGACAGGACCTAACCGAAGCACTCCTTCTGGCCCCTTGTTCCAGCAAGGGGTGTAACCGCCTGTATGGTAGTAATAGGTAGGCAGGGCTGGCTACCTGCCATTCTCCAGGGTGTCCCATTGTGATAGTGTGTGTGACAGCCTACTCGGTGATGCTGCAGGCCCTGGTGGCAGGCCTGATGTGCCCTCGAGATGAAATAGACCATGCCCTGGCAACTCAGTGAACTTGGAAGTTGTTGTCCCTTGGCCTGAAGCCTCTCTGCAGGTGAAGTGTCCTGTGGTGTGTTCAGGTGGGACTGGCATGCCTGGAAGAGATTCTTATGTGGCTGGGGCTGTCTTTAGACTTTTGAACAGTGGACTTGCCCTGCTGGCCTCCAGGTGTCTGCTATGCTTGCTCTTTTTTTATTGATTGGGCCTCTTTCCTGGAATCAGGGCCAGGTTCCAGGACAAAGAGGATTCACTCAGTGAATCCAGGTCTCTAGATGCTTATAGTGCTGGACTTTTGGTGGAAACAGCAGGAGTCTAGCTGCTCTCAGGAATGAGACGGGGCCTGCTGCAGGGGTGTAAAAGCAGTGGACCCTCCACAGTGACTGATCCTGCCACTGCCAGTGACCATGACCTGCCACCACACTCCACTGTGCCACCCTTCCCTTCTCTCCTGATTCTTCTCTTGCTATTTTACCTATATCCATTCATCTCTTCCTGGTGCCTTTGCCATTTTGTTTCTTCTCTGTTCATGCCTTGGGCCTATCAATGAGAGACAATAAGCATACAGTTAAGACCTCAACTATTTGATTATGATGTGCCTTGCTGTCGTGGTTTTCTTCATGTTTCTCCCACTTGGGATTTATTGAGTTTCTTGGATCTGTAGGTTTATAGTTTCATCAAATTTGGAAAATTTTCAGCCACTATTCCTTCCATTTTCCCTCAACTCTGGGGTTCCAATTATATGTATTCTATGCTTCTTCATCTTTTCCCATAGCTCACCAAAGCTCTGCTTGGTTTTTAAAAGTCTTTCTTTACTCTCTGTGTTTCATTTTGGATAGTTTTTATTGCTATGTCTTCAAGTTCACTAATCTTTTATTCCAGTGTGAAATCTACTGATAATCCCATTCAGTATATTTTTCATTTCACATATTATAGTTTTTATCTCCAGAAGGTCATTGTGGGCTTTTTAAAAAATGTATATGTATATCTTCCCTTCCTCATGCTTTCTCTTCTGGAGTATATAGAACCTATTCCCAATAGCTGTTTTAAGGCCTTCTCTACTACTTCTCTCATCCATATAATCTCTGAGTCTATTTCTATTCATTGATTTGTCTGTTGGTTATGGGCCATACCTTTTTTTACATGCTTGGTAATTTGATGTTAAATGTCAGATGTTAGAACCTTTACATTACTGGGTGCTAATTTTTTTTTTTATCCCTTTAAATATTTTGGGTTTTGTTCTGGATCACAGTTAAGTTACATAAAAACAGTTTGATCCTTTCAAGACTTGCTTTTAAGCTTTGTTAGGGTAGGAAGACTTTAGTGTAGGACAAATTTTGCTCCACTGCTGAATAAATACCCTTCTGAGATTGCCATCCAATGCTCTGTGTATTAGAAGGTGTTTCCCCCCTGGCTGGAGAAACACCAACTTATTTTCAGCCCTGTGTGATCTCAGTGGATTGTTCTATCTATTCCTTGCCTCGAAAGTTTCCTTACACGTGGACAAATTAATACTCAGCCAAAGACTTGAGAGGCTAAGATTTCTGGATTTATCTCTGTATGTTGGTCTTTCCTCTCTAGTACTCTGTCTTGCAAATCAAATTGTCTTGGACTCCATGGATTTTGAACCCTGTCGTCTTAGCTCATTGAGATGACCGGGCCCTGGACTGCCCTCCCTGTGTTGCAGACTGGAAACTTTCTGGGAAATGAACTGGGGCACACATAGAGGTCACCTCATTACAAAGAGAAATATGATGACTTTATTGTGGAGAAACCTGGCAGGCCCCAACGTGAACAGGTGATCAAGAGAACATCATTAGTGATGGGATGGGTGGACACTATGTCCCCCTGATGTGCCGTACAGAAAACCCAACATCATTTCTTTCCAAGAAATCACAACTTGAGTCTGGTTGTTTGGAAAGTAGTGTAAGGACCACTCTCTATAACTGCCTGGACACAGAAGACAGGGAAAGACTGAGGAAGCCTTCCAGATTGTAGGAGACTGAAGAGGCAAATGACTAAATACAACATGTGTTCCTTGCTGAAATCCTGGACCAGAAGGAAATCCTGACCTTGTTGGTACAGTTGGGGAATGCGATTGGGTCTGTGGGTGGGACAGTGTTGCTTCAACGTCAGTTTCCCGACTTGGAGGCAGTGTGATGGTCATGTGGGCGAGTGTGCTTGACTTTGAGAAATATGCACTATGATGTTTGAGGGATATGGGCCTGGTGTCTGCAATGTCTTCTCAAACGGTTTATAAAGAGATTGATGATAATGGTATGTAGACACAGAGGGAGAGAGAGGGCAAACATGGGGAGGTGTTAACAGTTGAGGAGGATGTGGATGTTCTTTGTACAGTTCTTGCACTTTCCTATAAATTTGACAGGAAAAAGAATCAATCAGTATGGCCGAGGCTGTGATGTATAAGTCACAGGCAGTGTATCAGCTCGTGAAACACCCTCTGGGCTGGATCTGTATTCAATTATCACTGCTAATGGAAAGCCAGCCTTGATGCAAGAGAAAAAAAGGGTAAGGTACTAGGAAGTGACCACCTCATCACTCCATTTCTAAATGCCAAGAGCATTCATCATTGATAGAAGAAGTACATTTGAGAGACCCCGATCTAGGTGAGAAACCAGATGCCCCCTGCATTAGGTAGGGTGTTGACCACTTGGTGCCCTTTGAGCCAGAAGCTTGGGAGTCATGGCTGGAAAAGTAGCAGACCTGACATTTAGTGTTGCTTGGTGACTGTTTCCTCATTCCTCTAGGGTACAAAATGGAGGACCTTTGGTTCCTGCTCAGAAGAGAAAGGAGAGCTGGGCTACTGGCTGGGTGGGAGGTTGGCGGTCAAGGGCTTGGTGTCTGGACCCACACATGGACCCCATGGAATCCCAGCCCTGCCACTGACTAGCCCAGGAGTCTTGGGCTAGTTACTTATTCTCACTCTGCCTCAGTTTCCTCCTCTGTAAGATGAAGGAAATAACCATATCTACTTTATAGGGGGCTGGAAAGATCAAGCACATTCATTCACTCGAGGGCTGAGGGTGGCGCCCAGTGCACAGTGGGTGCTGTGCTGGCCTCTGCTGTAGTTTTTCCCAGGACTCCACACTGCCAGTCAAGCCCCATCTTCTGAGGGTGGACCAGGCTATGGGGGGCCTGCTCTGTTAAGAAGAGGAAGGAGGGGGTGATTTCCTGCCGCTACCCCCCAGGTGAGGTGTTTCTTGGTGAAGAGGGCATTTCTGCTGGTCAGAAGCTCGGATGATGAACCGTGGTTCATGGGTTACCAAGGCCCTGGTTGATTCTTCTCCTGTGCGGCCTTCCAGGCAGTGGAGACAGATTGGACTAGAGGTCAGAAGAATCCACTTCTAGACATTTGCCAGAGCCGTGCGTGTGATCTCACCTCTGTGGGCCTCAGTTTACTCATCAGCGTAATGACACAGTTGTATTAGATCAGAGGTCTGCAATCTGTGAAGCCCTCAAGGTTCTCCTGGGGTGCCCCTGGGTGCTGCTGGGGGAAGTGGGGAGGTGGAAGCAGCAAGCTCCAGGGGCCCCCACTTGGGCCCACCTAGAACTGTTTGGCCGGTGCCTCTAAATCAGGATACTAACATGGTTTCATGTGGAGAAACAATTCTACTGCTAAACAAATTTTGAACATCATCAGACTAAGGTCCCTCTGAGGTTTCACATTCTAGAGTTATCTTTTTTGTTGTTTTTTTTCAAGGAGTGGTAAATCAGTGAGAATTCTGGGCTCTCCAGGGCCCACATGTTATGCTAAGCTCTTCAGGGTGGCTGGTAGTGGAGGCCCTCACCCACCGTCTCCACCGTCAGGCTGGAGCAGAAGGGCTTTGATATTCGTGTGGACACACACACTCATTACACATCATCTATCACACACGTACACACGTACACATACCACACACATCAAACATCCACATTACATACCACACATGTACACATACACACTGCACATACCACACACCACACATGTACATGCACACACATATACACTTCACACACATCCCCTCACATCCTATGCACACATACATATGCCACACATATGCACACACATACGTCACACACATATACACCCATATACACACAGCACACATACACACACCACACGTTTCCATGACACACACTTTGGACGTGCTTTGCCCTCAGTAAACTATCAGCAGATGAATCTGCTGGCCACGGTGCTGGAGCTCAGCTGCACATCGGAACTGCTGGGGAAGCACTGAAATCTACACTGTCTGCCCACTGTATTCCTCATTTACTGTTGTGTAACAAATTGTACAAAACTTCACAGCTTAAAACAACAAACAGTTATACACACTTTCTGGGAGCAGCTTAGCTGGTGGATCAGGCTCAAGGTCTCTCATGAGTTTGCAGTCAAGCTGATGACCAGGGATGCCACCATCAGAAGGCACACCTGGGCTGGAAGACCCCCTCCTGTGTCTGAGGGCAGGAGGCCTCAGTTCCTCCCTGGCTGGGGACAGGAGGCCTGGGTTCCTCCCTAGCTTCCTTGACACCAGATCTTCTGTATAAGCTGCTTGAGTGCCCTCAGAATATGGCAGCTGGCTTTCCCCAAAGCAAGTGGTGATGGGGAGAGAGAGAGAGAGAAGATTCCATCGCAGAAGTCACACTCGTTTACAGCCTCATCTCAGAAGTGATAGAGCTTCACGCTGCCATTTATTGAATTTCATTTGCACAGACC